GATGAACTGATCCAAGCAGCGTACATCGCATCTAAGTTTTGTATTAAAGCTTTCCGAGCACCGCTTATAAAAGTTGCAAAACTTCGCCACCCACCTCATGAGTGCAAATTCTTGCAAAAAACCGCTTTCTCACAATGGCATAAGGAGAGAATATAGGGAAAGCATCCTTCCGGTAGACAGAATTAATTTCTTGAAAAAAACGTTCTGAAATACATCGTGTAGTTGACCTGCTTTAGGTGAAGCTAATCAACCAAGTTACATATTTAGGATGGAATTCGCAGAAGAGCTTGAAGCGACCTAAAGTACCTCGAGTAGCAGAAAAACAGTGAAAACACAGGAAATACGCATACATGGTTCATCAGAAGAGGTAAACTACTCGTTTCAAAAAATAAGCGGTGAAAAGCTAGCAGTAAAGGAAAGTTGATGAGGTATTAACCTCATCCCTACGCGAATGTCAAAAAGAAGACGAGGCGAACCTTGATTTGCCCTGATCTTTTAACTCTTGTGTAAGACGCTTGCTTAGGTCGACGAAGAGGACGCGCTCCAGAAAGTGCATAATGCGACGGGTGCCAACGTTTGTGCGCGACCGGTATGCCGAAGGAGACAGGAGATTAAAAGTAAGCGAACAGGAGTCGGAGGAGTAATCAACTTCCACGCTGAGAGGTAATTTAATAACCTGCAAACGCATAGATGACAGTGCAAATGTGGTGATTTACCAGGGAAACAATGTGTTCTAATGTTATTTTTTTATTCACAACGCAGCATATTCAATTCTCGGATTCACAAAATTCGCGCCAATTCAAAAACAATAGAATTATAGTTAGAAAGTATGTAAGAAAGGTGTGTGAAGGTGTGTAGCAAGGCATATCGAAATGGAGGAAAAGAGTAGGCTATAAGCACGAATGATATGCAACTGCACCAAGGAAATAAAACAAAACATAGGACAATCCAAACTTATGAGTGGTTACTATAGATGTGAAGAGCATTTACATATGGACCTCTGGGCATACAAGTCAAGATGCGTAGCTCACCTCAGCAAGGCGCAGCCTGTACATCTCACGAGCAATATGCTCAGCTCTGGATTTAGCTTCAGAAGTGGGCAGAATGGGCACTTCCATGCAGGGTGTGGCAATAACAGCAGACCCGGCCATAAGCACCTCTCGGAGACGGGGAATGCCCAAAGTAACGTTCATTTCACCACGACCAGCGAAGTGGAAAGTATTCAATGTCATCTGAGTGGAGGGCTCACCTAACGATTGAGCTGCTAATAGGCCCACCGGCTCCCCGGGTGGAACCTAAAAAAAGCGCCCTCGTGAGATTACCTGCGACTCAAAGTGAGTGAAAGGGTAACCATGCAAACTGTTTCGAAGTATTACAGCTGAAACAGAACGGCGTATGAAGTCACTTTTGAAGTTGTCCCAAAGTGGAAAGACTAGCCTAGTCATCTCGAATGTCTACATGCTGTACTGTTAAGCTTAGAAAGTTGCGTTAGGAAGCAGTTATGTTCGAAACGCGCTTGAGAACTTGCCTGTCCCTGAGTAATTTTGGCTGTGACGATAGTCCGTAGATCCGCCGCTAGAGCACAGGGAGGTTCGGAAAGAACGCTCAGAGATGCATTTTCGGTGAGCTTTCGCTGGGCACGATCCCTACGCTTCTTTAGGTGCGCCAACTTCTTGGCGCTAAGCGATGTCTGTAGGATCTACAAAAAGTTTACTTTCCATTAAACAGGAAAGGCGCTCCATTGCTGTCTTGCATATTCTTCATCTTAATGCAGGATGCAACTACGTGAAGACGGCCATCATATTTTACTTCTAGACAAGGTGAATGAGTCGACCACAAAGTAGTAAATAAAGCCAGCGGAAATGACGCAGGAATTGTAGATAACGGGTTGACGATGCAGTCATGACCAGTCATTCCAAACCAATGTAATAAGCCGTAATGGAATAACTCCTCAAAATAGAGGTTACAGTCTGAATAGTAAATGAGATTTGCTTTCAAGAAGCCAAACCTGTGCTATCGATTAAAAAACCATTGATACAATGCATTATAGATGCCAAATAGCCTAAAAACAAACCAACCCAAGTAAAATAGTTGGTCACAACGACAAGAGAGCCAAAGGCAAACAAATAACCCAATCATTTGCAGCGTACCACACTGTAACACAAGCATTAGTGGTGCTTCAAAACCTTAAAAACTGTAATTATTTTAAGAGATTCAAAATAAAAATTTGGTTCAACACTCACAGTTAGTCGTCTGACGGCTACCTCGTCCACCTTGCTTGCCAGTTCTGGAGGGAGAGGATTTTGCTCAGTGAGTTTGCGGTAAAGTTCGGGATCTAAGGGACAACGCCAACGTCTCGCCAGCAGTTCCGCATTCTCTGCGAAAAAATGGAAACCCTCCGGCTTCAAGAAAGTCGATTGGCAGACATCGAGACCGTCATCACCGTAACGAAATTGGATCACCGAACCACCGGAGTCGCGAACGGTTCCATCGTAGTGTACGGAGAGGTCCTTTAGAAGCAATAATAAAATTCATTCACTATATATGCACCAAAATAGTGCAAAGTTCATCAAACGAAAATCACAATATCACCTGTGACTGTTCCCTCGCATGCAAGCAGCTAAGGGTAAAGCATATTCCTTGCAATAATGTGATGAGATGAAAGAAGGTTAAAAAACAAGGCGAAGTAACAGTGATGTCATTTTCATAAAACACCAGAAATAGCGGAATGAATTTTAGAAAAGGGGAAAAAACCATAGCAAGTGGCCTGTAAGTTCAAAGTGCAATGATGCGTAAAGAATCTAAAACAGACGAAGAAAGAAAAACAATTCCCACTTAAAACCAATAAAACTTCGAAAAGACCAACTCACGAAAATGACCTGGTGCTACTTGTAAGGACCCGCAAAAGGCATTCAAAAGAACGCAGTCCATTCACTCAAAAAGATGTACGGTCGTTTGTGCGGGTGAAGTCACTTAATGTATAACTAGATACATGCCACAACATACGATTTCACTGAGAAAGAATACAACCAAAAACTTTTATACGCCCCAAAAAAGGCTTTTAATCCATTATACCATTTAAGCAGCACTCGTTTGACTTGGACCAGTTCGAAACATAAGCTACCAGCAGGCGACTCGACGTTAGGTACAAAAGGCACTTAATTAAAAGAATCAGATAACAAAGGCAAATAATAAGTAGCAATGTTTGCATAAGGTTCAGAACGTAAGGCATGTGAACACAACCGGATCTCATCATTACTCTGGCAGTTTGTCCTTGAGGTGAGTAAAAACGTGTATCTATTGGCGAACATAAAAATAACTAACTGGAGCGAGAAAAGTGAAATTAACAAACAAATTTAAAACCATTTGCTGTTTTGGAAGTAGACAAATAAAAGTTAGTGCATAAGTTTGTAAGCATGCAAGAAAAGGTCTCTACAATCAAAAGACCATTCAGGCACACCAGAGAAACAGACTCAGTTTATAAACATCAAGACCCAAAAACGGCATCGCAAGCAGCCAACTGACGCATTGTTGACTACAAATACCAATCCGTCAAAGGTACAACATAATGCAACCGATATAAAGGGACAAAAACACGTCCAGGCAGAAAACCAGCACTGCCAGGCAGAGAAAACTCTCCAGCACAGACATAATAAAAATAAAAAAAACAGGAGATCTCACTTCGAGATGTTTGATGAGGGAGCGTTGAAGGTAGCCGGACCGTGAAGTCTTGCACGCTGTGTCAACTAGACCGTCGCGACCAGCCATGGAGTGAAAGAAGAGCTCTTGCGGTGGCATTGAGGTGAGGAAGCGGTGAGTACACATGCCACCAGCGCGTGGACGCACATCGTAGGGTTGAAAGGAAGGCAGGGAGCGACCGCTCAGCATGAGGGGAACACGTCGACCCTCCAACTCTATCTGACCCAGGGCCACCGACATCTGCTGCGCGTTGACCTATAGAAAATAAGCCCATGAAAGACTTCGCTTAAAGGGACGCCAAAGTCACAGGGACCAAACTCGAAATACTATAATGGTTGACGTGTTTTATTGGGGTGGAAAAGAACATGCGATAGAAGTTTGGAGTCAAGCGCTCTAGGATCAAGACTCAAATACCGTTGGAGAATTTTGAGAGAAGCAATGAAGCTAACTGACTGATCAACCTCTTGGAAACGATCCACAACCAAAGCATCCTCTCCTGTGCGATGCCGCAAAATGCTCCCATTACATAAGAGTGAGTGATAAGAGTTGCAGAACGAAATGCAACAAAGGTGTGGGGAAAACGTAGTTCTATCGACTGACACACACAAAATGAACGGTGAACGAGGGTATGAATCGGGAGAGGAGAGATTACCAACAACTGATAAGGCTGGGTAATCGAGTATAGGATAGAAGTAGCCTGTCATTCGAGGCACGAATGAGCTCCACCGGAGCAACAATCGCACACATTAAGTCCTTCCAGGAGAAACCAATTTAGTGGCAATGTTATGAAATTGTATTAAAAACAACTTTAAGAGGGACTAAAACATCGGTGTGAAATGCAGAACCTGACCGTAACTAGAACATTTTGGGGCAACGTTAACCTCTCCGTAAGGAGCGACCAGAGCAGTACAACGCTGCGAATGAAGATGTCAAAAAACTTACCATGCCACCTTTAGCGCCGACATGAACCATCAGTTGCAATGAGTTGGCTGGGAAGGGAACGTAGAGGCCCGATGGAATAACGGCGCTTAAAAGGAGACATAATCAGAGCACACTGGAGGCAACCCATTCAATCTTGAGGCTTAAAATGCAAACCTCACTCAAAGCACTACTTGGCCCGCAGAAACAAAACATCAACTGTATAATGAGAGATACCGCCATCGGGTAGGGTGCACTGAGAACCGGAAATGAAGAACTTACTCGCAGACAGCATCCTGGGAGTGCTTAATTCTGTCCTTTACAGCACGGTCGAGAGCAGCCATTTTGTCGCCAAACACCTCGTCCGTCTTTGGTGCGAAGTGAGCCAGCCTATAGAGGTGTTTCACGTTCTCTTCTGTCAGCGTGTCCGCAGTCAGGCCAAAGGCGTCAGCGAAGGCACACAAACCGAGAGTTTGCATTCCCTTTTCAAAGCGCAGGCAACAGAACTGGGTGCAAAACTTGTGACGCAACTCAGAACCATTTTCGCTACCCAAATTGGGTACTAGTGAACAGACCTTATTAGTCAGCAAGTTAAACTCCTCAGAAAAACAGTCAATTGATAATGCATGAATTGAACGAGAGCAGCACGACTTCACCCTGCATGCATGTGCAAACTACTCTGAGGAGACAGCAGGCTTACTCTTCTGAACTCATTGAGAATCTACTGCCCATCACATATACTAGGTGGAGCGTGTCAAGTAGCACGCACCTCCTCGGTCAGTCTATTGCATCCATTTCCTTGGACACAATTCTACTACTTTTCACACTC